GTCGTCGTAATCGTAGTCGTAGTCGCAGTCGTAGTCGTGGTTATACTAGTAATAGTCGTCGTAGTCGCCGTAGTAGTCGTAGTAGTTCTAATCAAATCCGTAGTCGTAGTCCTATTGGTAGACCCAGCGTTAGTAGTAGTAGTAGTAGTAGTAGTACTACTACTACTAGTCGTAGCAGTAGTAAAAGTAGTAGTAGCAGTGGTCGTAGTAGTAGTAGTAGTAGTAGTAGTAGTAGTAGTCGTAGTAGTAGTAGTAGTAGAAGTAGTAGTACTAGTCGTAGTCTTAGTCGTAGTCGTAGTCGTAGCCGTAGCCGTAGTCGTAGTCGTAGTCGTCGTAGCAGTAGTAGTAGTAGTAGTAGTCGTAGTAGTAGTAGTAGTAGCAGTAGTAGTCGTAGTAGTAGTAGTAGTAGTAGTAGTAGTAGTAGTAGTAGCAGTAGTAGTAGTAGTAGTAGTAGTAGTAGTAGTACTAGTAGTAGTATAGTAGTAGTAGTAGTAGTAGTAGTAGTAGTAGTGGTAGTAGTAGTAGAAGTAGTAGTAGTAGTACTAGTAGTAGTAGTAGTAGTAGTAGTAGCAGCAGTAGTAGTAGTAGTAGTAGTAGTAGTGGTGCTAGTGAAAGTGCGCCAGTGGATCTCCCTGAATACACTAAAAGGGGGGGGGGGTCCAGAACCCCCCCCCTTCCCCCCTTTAAGGAGGGGTGGGGTCCCGAACCCTCCTTCCCCCCTTCCCTTGAAGGGGGGGGGAGGGGTCCGGACCCCCCACCCCCCCTCCCCCCCTTGGCGCTGGAAAGGGAGGGGGGGGTTCGGAGTACGGAGTTGGGGGTAGGGAGTCGTGAGTAGTGAGTAGTGAGTTAGTGCGTAATGAGTAGTGCGTATCGGGTAGTGAGTAGTGGGTAGTGAGTGGCGAGTAGGGAGTAGGGAGTGGGGAGTGGGGAGCAGTGAGTAGTGAAGAGTGAGTAGTGTGTACTGATGAGTGAGTAGTGAGTGGCGAGTAGTGAGTAGTGAGTAGTGAGCAGCGAGTAGCGAGTAGTGAGTACTGAGTAGGGAGTAGGGAGTAATGAGTAGTGGGTAGTGAGTAGTGGGTAGTGAGTAGTGGGTGGCGAGTGGTGATTAGTGAGTAGTGAGTAGTGGGTAGTGCGTAATGCGTAGTGAGTAGTGACTAGTGAGTACTGAGTAGTGAGGAGTGGGTAGTGAGTAGTGAGTACTGAGTAGGGAGTAGCGAGTAATGAGTAGTGAGTAGTGAGTAGTGAGTACTCAGTAGCACGCAGTGCGTAGTGAGTAATGAGTAGTGAGTAGTGAGTAGTGATGCGTAGAGAGTAGTGGGTAGTGGCAGTGGGTAGTCAGTAGTGAGCAGCCAGTATGGAGTAGCGAGTCGTGAGTAGTGAGGAGCGGGTAGGGCGTAGTGAGTAGTGAGTAGAGAGTAGTCAGTAGTAAGTAGTGGGTAGTGATTAGTGAGTAACGAGTAGGGAGTAGCGAGTAGTGAGTAGTGAGTAGGGAGTAGGGAGTAGGGAGTAGTGAGCAGTGAGGAGTCAGAAGCGGGTAGCGATTAATGGGTAGTGGGTAACGATTGGTGAGTAGTGGGTAGTGTGTAATGAGTAGTGACTAGTGACTAGTGAGTTGTGACTAGTGACTAGTGACTAGAGACGATGTAGTGACTAGTGAGTAGGGAGTAGTAAGTAGTGAGTAGTGAATAGTGAGTAGCGGGGAGTGAGTAGTGAGTATTGAGTAGCGAGTATGGGAGTAGCGAGTAGAGAGTACTGAGTACTGTGTAGTCAGTACTGTGTAGGGAGTAGCGAGTACCGAGTAGTGGGTAGTGAGTAGTGATGTGTGGGCAATGAGTAGTTAGTAGTGAGTAGTGAGTATTGGAAAGTGGGTAGGTAGTGGGTAACGAGTAGTCTTTAGTGAGTAGGGAGTAGGGAGTAGGGAGTAGTGCTTAGTGAGTAGTGAGTATTGAGTAGTGGGTAGTGGGGAGTGAATTGTGAGTAGTGAGTAGGGAGGAGGGAGTAGTGAGTAGGGAGTAGTGAGTCGCGAGTAGTGGGTGGTGGGTAGTGAGTAGTGGATCGTGAGTAGTGAGTCGTGAGTAGTGAGTACCGGGTAGTGAGAAGTGAGTAGCGAATAGCGAGTAGTCAGTAGTGAGTAATGAGTAGTGAGTGCTCCTTGGGGCTGGGGTTCGTGGTTGGGGTTAGGATGAGGGGCTTGGGTTAGGGTGAGGACTAGGGGTAGGGGTGGCGGGGATCGGGTCCCGGAGTCAGGGGGCGGCGTGGCGAAAGGGGGGGAGGGGGGGGGGGGGTCCCCGTGAAAAGGGCGAGAACGCCCTATAGGTCCGTTCCCGTTCCCGTTCCCGTTCCCGTTCTCGTTCCCGTTCCCGTTCCGTTCCCGTTCCCGTTCCCGTTCCCGTTCCCGTTCCCGTTCCCGTTCCGTTCCCGTTCCCGTTCCGTTCCAGTTCCCGTTCCGTTCCCGCCCGGTCGCGTGCCCGTCTACCCCCCCTTAAGCCTTCTAGCCGAC